TTATTTAGTTAGTGGGTTTAATTAAAGTTAAGTAAGATTGATTTGTTCAAATGTATCTGCATGCCTAGTTTTAGACGTTGTCTCAGACTACAATTAGCAGACATTCTTGCTGTTAAGTAAACATTGTAGTGTATATAAAAACAGATAGTACAGTTTACAGCAGTGAAAAGATTAATAACATATTTATTAAAAGTAAGTGAATCTTGGCACATTTAGGTGCCCAGATATCCCTGCATCTACAAGATACCTATTAGCAATCTACAGATTTATCACTTTATCTGTGAGTTATAACTGTTAGCAGCTTGCATAATGAGTTGAAGGTTTCAGAGTTAAATCCTGGATTAAAATGCATTCAAGGTGCAGTGTTTTTGGAAATAGATGATGGTGCTGGATTGAGCAGAATCAATGATAAGTCAATCTTAAAATCAATAATTCACCGTTTGAAAACAGTGAATGTTTAAAAGCGATTTGTGTCAGCAAATATAAACTGAAAACCTATAAATGCTACTAAGATTAGGATTTCCTATTGGGAAATTCAAATGTATAGTAAACAGGGGAGGAGTAATGGTCAATTGCACAGCTGAATCTGAATAGCAGACATGCTATAAAATAGTGACAATCATTTTGACCATGGAAAAACACAAAATTAACAGATTAATCTTTTATTTGCCACTCTAGAAATATGCCCCAAAGGTTTAAAAAATGAAGGGAATTGCAAACCCCCAACATACTGTCCAAAAACTTTATCAACTATACTTTGTCAATGATGTCTGTGTGTGTTTATTTACAATATACTTATGTACAAGGGCTTCTTTCCCACATCCCAGAACCGGTAGATCTGATGGTCTGCAGAAGGAAGATTATCAGAATCTACAAGCCCCCTTTAGAATTAGGGGCATTTTATGCATAAAGGTAAAAAAACCTTCTGCTCCCCCATATTTACCCGAGCCCACTCCCGATCAAGCGCTGTGCATGAGTCTCTCCTTGCTCTGTTCTTTCTCTCTGGGAAGATTGATAGCAGCAGTAGATGCTAGTTCCTGCTGCTGTCAATCAAATCCTGTAACAAGGGGGAAGGAGGCGGGGCTAATTCATCCTGTCTGTTTCTATTGACACAGACAGGGCAGTTGGAGAGCAAGCCTACACGAGTGCCCCCATAGAAAGCCGCTTCCTATCATCGCACTCACCGAAAAGGCTTCTTATTAGGGGCACTCAGCAGGGGGGAAGAGCCAGGAGCTACAAAAGCCTTAGAAGAGGAGGATCTGAGCTGGTCTGTGCAAAACCATTACACAGAGCAGATCAGTATGACATGTTTATTATTTTAGTTTTCCCAGGTTGTCAGAATGTAAACAACTGTGCCAGTTGGAGGGAGAAAGGAAGGAGGTAAAGAAGGAGAAAAAAAAAGAGGGAAAGAAGGAAGAAGGGGAAGAAGGAAGACGTTAAAGAATGAAGAGGGAAAGAGGGAAGGAGGGAAAGAAGAAAGAAGGGAAAAAAAGAAGAAGGGAGAAAACGAAGGAGGGAAAGAAGGAAGGAGGGAAGAAAGGAAGGAGGGAAAGAAGGAGGAAAAGAAAGAGGGAAAGAAGAAAGAAGGGGAAGAAGGAAGAAGGGAAAGAATGAAAGTGGGAAAGAGGGAAGGAGGGAAAGAAGGAAGAAACCAGCTTTCTCTCTCCTCTCCTGTCTGTGGTGGATGGGGATCTGTCAGCACGGGGCACAGTCTATCCTGACAGATCCCCCACAGCAGCCGCAGGGAGGGGGGGACCTCATGGCAGCACTGCAGGAGATGAAGGGGAGCAGCCGGGGGGGAGAGTACAGGAGCCCAGAGCATGCAGGAGATGGATAGGAGGGGTGGCCGGGCGGCACATAGAGGAACTGAGAAATGCATGGTCCGGTTCCTCTATGTGCCGCCCGGGCCCCTCCGATCCAGGCAGCCCTGGCCCACCGGGCATGTGCCCTATGGCCAGTCCGGGCCTGCTATGCAACTTAACTATGCATGAAAAGAGGGGATCTAGGGAGCAGAAAAATGACAACAGGTGCTCTGCAAACTGAGTCAAAATTTGAAATATTTGGTTGTAGCAGGAGGCAGTTTGTTCATCTAAAGGGCTGGAGAGTGGTACAATAAGGAATGTCTGCAAGGCAACAGTGAAGCATGGTGGAGGTTCCTTGCAAGTTTGGGCTGCATTTTTGAAAATGGAGTTGGAGACTTGGTCAGGATCAATGCTGAGAAATACAGGGAAATACTTATCCATCATGCCATGCCATCAGGGAGGTGTGTTATTGGCCCCAAATGTATTCTGCAGCAGGACAAAGACCCCAAACATACAGCCAATGTTATTAAGAACCATCTTCAATGTAAAGAAAATCAAGGAGACCACTCGTGTGCAGAGTAAAAATGACAGGAGACAGTAGGCAATCCAGGAAACCAACAAAGGTAAGGGCATGTGGCAGGTAAGCACAGATGATAGATGATGCCAGGGTCAGTACACAGGGAATCAGACACTGAAGAGTAGGTGAACGGGAGCTCAGAGAACAGAGGAGTTGCTCATGCAGTGCAGGCTATACTAAGCATGACTAATATAGGCAAGCAAACTGGGAGATGGGCCAGGAAGTGATGGAAGGGAAAGGAAATATAAACCCACAGAACAGCAGATAACTCCCATAGGTGAGCACAGACGGTAGACAACACATGGGAAAGGATTCAGGTCTAAGAGAAGCACTGCAGCAAGGCGGTAAGAAAGCACAGGCAGGAAAACTGCAGGCTAAATCGTGACACTGATCTTAGCTTTATCAATTTTGTCTGGGATTACATGAAAAGACAGAGGCAGCCTATATCCACAAAAGATCTGCTGTTATTTCTCCAAGATTGTTGGAACAACCTAACTGCCAAGTTCTTTCAAAAACTGTGTGCAAGTGTACCTAGAATAATTGACGCTGTTTTGAAGGCAAAGCATGGTAACACCACACATTGATCGGATATGGATTCCTCTTCTGGTAATGTACTTTTTAGGTTAATTGATAAAAATAAACTGTGAACATTTCTATTTCTGAAAACATTCTTTATTTACAGCATTGTTTTCACACACACACATGCCTATATATTTGGTACATTAGTGTGTGTATATACAGTATATATATATATATATATTAAACCAGCCACTTTATTAGGTATACCTTGCTACCTGGTGTGGTGTTCTGCTGCTGTAGCCCATCTGCTTCAAGGTTCGACATGTTATGTGTTCAGAGATGGTATTTTGCATACCTTGGTTGTAACAAGTGACTATTTGAGTTACTGTTGCCTTTCTATCATCTCGAACCAGTTTTCCCATTCACCTCTGACCTCTTGCATCAACAAGGCATTTTCATCCACACAACTGCCGCTCACTGGATATTTTCTCTAGAGATGGTTGTGCATGAAAATCCCAGTAGATCAGCAGTTTTTGAAACACTCAGACCAGCTCATCTGGCACCAACAACCATGCCATGTTCAAAGTCACTTAAATCCTCTTTCTTCCCCATTCTGATGCTCAGTTTGAACTTCAGCAAGTCGTCTTCACCACTTCTACATGCTTAAATGCATTGAGTTGCTGCCATTGGTCTCTGTGATTGGCTGATTATCAATTTGTGTTTACCAAACAATTGAACAGGTGTACCTAATAAAGTGTCTGGTGAGTGTACATAGCTCAATCTGTGGTCTGTGGTTAAGACCCCAGATCTCATCCACCTACATTCCTCTGAATTGTATTCTATATACAATATGTTTCTATGAGGAAACCAGTGAAACAATAAATCTGTGTATACGCCTGCAAAAAACAAAAAACCTGACCTCTATAATGACAGAAAAAGGATGGAGCCACAGTTCTCTACAGACTATACAGCCAATACATCCTGGAGAGCTATAGTTGCATCACACAGTAAGCTGCCATGCAATAGAAAAAGTAATAATTTCATTCACTTAGGAAAAGAAGTGAGGTTGTCAATCTATCCGAGCAAACTTATTGTGCACACACTTAAGCAGGTCAGTGACAGTGCGAATTTCATTCCTGCAACCACCAGTTCACTAGATTCCCCCATCAACACAGACAGTGTTGACAGGGGAATCCCCCCTGAACTATTGTGTTCATTTGAAGAAGGAAATGGGGGAAACCATCCCAGCCAAGAGAAGACAGTGATTATTGCTAGTGGCTATAACAGCAACCAGTGATAATCACATGTAAAATCCAGCACACTGGTTGTACCCAGGTTGATTGCTCAACCAACTTGGTTACATTCAGCCTACCCATACATGGTTCAAATCTCAGCCGGTCCCTGCTGAAACGGCTAAGATTCAAACCTTCAATGGCCGGCTTAACTTCACCTCAAGGTAAAGTCAATTTCTACACTCAATGTTTACAGCTTCTAAGAATGGCTAGTGAGCTGTGATAGAAGAGAGAGCAGTAAAAATGGTTACAATAGCCTCCATGCAAAGATATTGTTTGCCGAGATAACAAAATAAATAGCAAGGGTTACATAAAGTGCTCACTTTGGGAGTCAGGTAATAGACAGGTTTAGGGTGAGATTTAAAATGTGTCTAAACTTGAAGTAAAAAATGTAATAAACTGCAGTTTACCAGCCCTAAGATGAGTTAGCTGTATTCATTTTTTTTTCGTCTTTTTTTTTTCTTTATCATCATCTAGTGATACTGCAAATAACACACTTCCGGAGGGAGCCATGCTTTTCACACTGGCTGGACTTCAAGCATAGCTACCTTTTGTTTATATGCATTAACTTGCTGGAAAAATGGAACTTTCAGTTTACATGAGAAGGTTAAGAATGCTTGTGATTGTCTCTTTCAGCTCACAGCAAATGACAAGAACTGAATTTCTGGCAAAATCAATAGATATGTTCTGTGTTCCATAACAGATCAGAGCTGCTCCATGCTTGCACAAGGGCGGACTGACCATTTAGGCACTCGAGCACTGCCCGAGGGCCCAGGGTCAGTAGGGGGCCCCATGAGATACCCCTGGTACCTTTCATAGGCTTTTTTGGGTGTGGTTTGAGTGTGGGTGAGGACACAGGGGCCCCATGATTTCCTATTGCCTGGGGACCCCATGAGTTTTCAGTCCGCCCCTGTGCCTGCAATATCAGTTTTCTGGCTTTACGCCCTCTATTCAGGTGCTGACAGAGACAGAGTACATATTGGTGCAAGATACAATATAGGATACAAGTATTGCCACACACTTTATTCAGCTCCAATAGGAAGTAGTTGAATATAGTAATCTAGTGAGTGGTGCTACTTGTATGAGATGCTATATATTTATTTTATGCTTTTAGGTTAAGATACGCTTTCAAGCAATAGGTAAATGTTAGGGGTTAAAGGTTAAGGTGTTGTTTACATATTTAGTGTTGTGAAGTTCCCTTTTAAGAGGTTAGTTAACCACTTGCCCTCCAGAGGTTTTACCCCCCTTCCTGCCCAGGCCATTTTTTGCGTTATGGTGCTGTGTTACTTTAACGGTCCTGCCATGCTGCACCCAAATGAAATTTATATGCTTTGTTTCCTATGAATTGAGCTTTCTTTCAGTGTTATTTGATTGCCTGTGCGTTTTTTATTTTTTGTGTTATAAAAATAACAATATTTTTGACTTTTTGCTATTAAACATGTACAGTAAAGAAAAATGTAAAAATTAAATATCACCATAAATTTAGGCCAACATGTATTTTGCTCCATGTCTTTGCTACAAAAAAATCCCAATATGTGTAAATTAAAGGAGAAACCTGACAAAAATCAGGCATCATTTTGTTTTTTCTGACAACTGCTTACGCTGTGTATGCTGTGGTTTTACCCACTGGCTATTAATCTCACTTTTGTGTTCTTTATTGATGTAACAGCCATTGGGTGGAACTTAAATACACAGGAGGAGACCAGACATCCAGGACAACTAAAAGTTTATGTCCCGTACACACTAACAGTTTTGCTTCATTCAAGCCAGTGGGCTGAATGAAAAAAACCCTGACAGATCGCTGTACTAACACGAGTGGTGTTAGTACAGCGATCTCTGCTGCTGTGCTATTGTGATCTGACAGGGGGACTGCAAAAACGCACCAGTCAGTGCTATCAACCATTGGCTGAGAGAGCTGATTGGAAGCAGATCTGCAGACCTTTCTTGGTCATGCCCCTTCGACAGAAGCTGGACGAACATCCAACTTCTGTCAGACTGGCTGCCATACACATGGGCAGAATGTCGGCCCGGTTTTTGTTCAACCAGCCAATACCGCCTGATATTTAGCCCATGTGTACAGGGCTTAAGATGCTGAAAAACCTAGCTCTGCAAGACAATAAAGATAACAAGTCACTACACCATGAAAAGGAGAATAAAGGTAAGCAATCTTCATTAATCTATTTTGTAGGGGTCTTTTGAAAACATTGTAGCTAGCAACAAAGTTAAAGAAGTTAAAAGTTATGTGTTGAGTAGTTTAGGAATTGAAAGTTTCTTATTCTGCGATATATTACTGGTTAGAACATCAAAGAATTATTTCTGAAACTGTGAAAAATTCAGGTCATCAAATAACATTAGAGAGCTTACAGATCTCACAAACTTGGCAACCTCTTCTTCCAGGGCTTAGATCACTCCTAGTTCAAATAATCTACATCTCCTACTGCCAGCAGAAACTGTGAAAGGTGTCACTGTCTTTCACATAAAATACAAAGTTATTTTTTGGAATTTACTACTATGACAAAGCAACATCCACCTTTTCTTCAGGTCAGGATAAGCTTTATGCCTATCATTTCTATGTTATGTACAGTATATACTGTAGATGTATATGTACAATTTGTAATATTAGAATTATAAAACACATACATACTATATACATACACACTTTGTTTTGTCACCAGTGTCCTGGAATCTTAGAACTTTCACCTTTACCATCCAGTTGATAGCTGGGATAGCCTCTGTGCTTTGCATAAACTGTGCATCCTAGAACCTTGTTTTTTGTGACAACCCAAATGCTATCTTCACTCTTTTCACCTTTTATCCTCTAACCACAAAGTTTACTAGATTCTTAAAAAAAATCATCTCCACTATATCTGATTTACCCTAATTATATGTGCCTATTTGGTACTACATTTGTATTTGTTTAACAGGTCCTTGTCAGTGATCCAAGGGAAGAGAGAGACTGGATAGCTTCTTGATGGAATAATTAAATGATACTAAATCTTCCTAATGATAGATGGTGAAGCTGCTGGGCTTTCTATGGTAAGAAGGTAATTCTGGTGCAGAGATGAGGTAAACAATGTTTATAGAGTGATGAAAGGAATATTAATGATGTAAAATCAAATTCAAATCAGGCTAATTGAAGGAGCTAGATTTTTCCGAGCGCGTAGCCTGCTTGTCCCACGTCTGTGCCTCCTTAACGGACTGACCCTCCACCTGTCCCGGAGACATCACTTTCACCGGTGCGCTCCAAGCTGCTTGTAGGTCTCCTCCTGTACAAGCGCCGCTGGATCAGCTTCACAGCACCTTAACTCTACAGGACAGATCTCCATTGTGCTTTCACACATCTCCATCAGCCCAGCATACATCCCCCAGGCCACCGGGGGGGTGCCTTCAGGATGTTGAGGAACGATCATCCTTCTCATACACAGATGAGCTTTTTTTTATTACTCTTGAGAGTGTTTTTTATCCTTTACCATTAAACATGGTTTTAATTACTGCACTTAGATGGGTGCCTCCTGTTTCTTTCCTTTTGTTCTTGATGGGCTTTCTCTGAGCCATCTAAGCACCATAGCACCACAGTTTCCATTGTAAAATTCCACATTTTCTTATATAGGAAGATACCTTCATTCATACTGATACAAAGCATCAGGGGAAAGGATCTCTCGATGTGTACACATTCATGGTTGTGTTTAAAGTATAAGGACAGATTGTCAGATTATACTGCCCCAGCAGTCTGTAGACTCCATTATCCATAAAAATCATGTAGCATAGGTAAATTAAGTTGGACTGGGCAGAACCACATATTGGCAATAAATTGGACAAGTGGAACATGTGTGTTAGCTGTGTGTCACTAAAGGGTTAAAGAAGCATGCCATAATAAATACAAGCCTTAGAACCCAGTGGACTCAACCTCACTGATGGACCATACTATGTAAAACTTGTCAGACTTTCCTATTACAATTAAAAGTGCATGTCACAAATAATTTATCTTTTGGAATTTAGAGACCTTTTTGATAGTGGATTCTACTATTCTGGAACAAATCCCACTATTGAGAATGGCTGGGTAGGAGTCTGTTGATCTTCTGTGCATAAGGGCACATCAGTTCGATACATTAGTGGATACATTAGTGGCATTGATGACCAGTGGGCTATATTGGTTTTAAAATGACTGCAATTGATAGATTGGCCAGAAATGTTGGATTTACAATATTTCATTAGTGGTACTGTTAACTCAGTTAATGTATTTTACTATCTTAATATTGACAGATATCAAGAATAATAGAATGATTCATTACTTTTCCCCATCCATTTGTCATTTTTGAAGAGAGTGATGCAGTTCAAAGTGACAGAAGGCTCAAGCTACCAAGATTTAGCCCAATGATAAAAAGTATATTTATTTTAGCCATGTAACTGTCATTTTAAACCACAATTGGACTGTCACTGTTTAGCAGAGTTCAATTGATCAAGCAAAAACTGTACAGTGGCTCTCTCCAATCCTGTTAGGTGTTCATTGGTTGATGTTAAAACGACAGCTGGTTGAAGGTCCTGACAGTTCCTTTTTCTGTGGTATCAAAATGGGTGGTGGCTGGGAGGTTTATGCAGTTTATGATTGCATCATGGCCCTCCCTTACACACAGTTTTATACTAATATTAATCTCTTCCACTATGTACGGGTTGCAGTCTGGAAACTGGTAGATTATTGTTCAGCATTACATTTCATGTCCGGGGATACCAAACAGAGTATTCCAGGTTGGTCTTTCACCCAGGAGGTAGAAGACTGCTTTCTCCCATTTCGTATGTGCTAGCTTAGCCATGTATGACCTTGGTTTGTTCAGTATGATATTCCCCATTCAAATATATACTTAATATTAATGTGTCTTGGTACTGTTGGATTTTATGAATTGTGTTTGGATTTTGTGAAATGTTGTGAATTGGGCAGAGGTATCGGAGAGGTTGCCCCCACGCCTGGCTGCTTTCTGGGCAGACGTTTTATGGCATATTATGTGTTCCTAGTGCTTTAATTGCCCTACAACCATGAATGGCAGAACGGACAGAGTTTGTCATAGTTTTACGATAGACCAGGGCTCAATTAGCTGTTTACAGCTCTGACCAAGGCCTGTGTGCTGGTGTCTGCTGTCCCTAAATTGAGATAACAGGCTCTTTTGAAGTGTGTTAAAAGTTAAGGATATGGATTTCATAGATTGCTGAAGCGGGTAAGATCACTGAGCTCATGAAAAAAAAAATGACCTGACCTGAACAAGATGAATGTCTCCTACAGCTTTCATGTTCCTAATGCGCACAAACCATTACAATCTTCCTCAACATTTTTTCCAAAAGGAACCCCTAAAATAATTTTCATATCTACAGATCTTGGTATTTTAGTGTTATCAGTGAGTTTATGATATAATAATAACCAGAGGCATTGCTATGGGGGTGTGGAAGGTGTGGACCCCATCAGAGGGGTGACATTCGTCCTCAGGAGCACCACCCCAGTGACTGATCTGCATCTCTCACTGGCTGTGTGGCCTTTCCTGCTGGCAGAACACAATGATTACTGCTAGTGTATTTAGCTGCCAGCAGTTATTGTATGCAAAAATCCAACAGGCTGGTTGTACTGAAGTTGATTAATGGATCAACTTCTTTACAACCAGTCTGCTCGTAGATGGATCGCATCTCAACTGGTTCCTGCTGAATCGGCCAAGATTTGATCTATCCATGGCAGACTTAAGTTTCAAATGGGAGGAATGGAGATGTGGGGAAGTACAGGGAAGGTGAGTTAAGTACAGCTGGGAAGGGAAAAGTTGAGAAAAATGCCCTGTATGGACAAAGCACATGTACAGTTTAAGCACCACTAGGCTTGGTTAACATCTTTGCTTTTTTGTAGAAACACACTACAGTCCATTTAACATGGTTTCCTA